CTGAGTTTCAAAATTAATAGACCAAATGGTATTTAATGTCAATTTAAATACGGCACAATTAATGCAAAACCAAGTTAACTGCTTTAAAGTGGTGAAACAGGAGGAAGGATAGATGCTAGAAAGGTTAAGCTTGCTGTGAAATAAAGACTCCCACTAATCAGTCCCAACTCTGAAGAATGCTGGGAGGATTTAGTTTCTTATGGCAGCACATCTGTAACTGTGCTAGTATCTTATGGCAGCGTATCCATCTTTGCTAATACCAGCAGAGCATTATAGAAATGACAGAAAAAAATTCAGGAAGGGACCTGGAGAAAAGAGCATGAAGATGCTTTATCTAACATTAAAGAAGCTGCTTGAAAAGCTCCTGCACTAAAATTCCCAGTCAATGGAAAATTATTCCTAATAAGAATTTCAACATGAGCTGATTCTGTGGGACCAGTACTGTTACAGAAAAATAGTGAAGGAAAATGTATACCAGTAGCATATGCGTCCTCCTGTCTCCAGGGGCTGGACCAAAATTTCCCTGGCCATGAGAAAGCCTGGTTAGAGGCAGTCTGAGTTGTGGTGGTCTTCGAGACTTTTCCCCTCCCAGTTGTACACCAGTCTACTTATACTCTGCTCTTAAGCACAAAGAGAAAAAATGGATATTAAAGTAGACATCCTTTTAAAGGAAACCGGTAATAAACCAAAGGTATTGTGTACTCATAGGAATGTTAAATTTTAACAAGGAGGAAAAATAATTCAAGATAATGCTATTAGTGGAATGTGGGAACAAATAGCAGGGAAACTAGAGAAAGGATCATGCCAAGAGTCTTACAGGCTGTCAGTAAAAGACAAAGCCCTCTACACAATATCTCTCTACAGATAGCTACTCTGCTGTTAATAGGATAAAATACTGGATGCATGATAGGGAAAAGGCAATGTGAAGCACATAATAGGACACCCATGAAGAAAGCAGGAGGTTTATTTTACAAGCTTAGAGGGACAGAGGGAATAAAATGTATGTAAAGGACGTAAAATACATGGGAAGACTGAAAGCAATACTGAGAAACAAATTAGTGAGCAAGTAGACAAACTGATTCAGAGTTTGTTTACTGCAGCCCCAATCAGGAATCGGCTAAAAGACATGGGATGGATACTGCTGCCAGCTAAATGAGAGGAAGTTATCTTAGACTGTTTTAATAAGTTACATAAAGGAGTACAGGGTACTCTGAAAAGAGTGCAAAGAATTTGTATTTGGCCCCAAATGAAGCAAGAGATAGAGGACATAAATAAACACTGCATAAGGTGTGCAATGATGCAGAAGTGGACTAGTAAAAGAAAGCTGCTAACTCTACTGCATTGGCTAAACCAAGGACCGTGCAAATACCGCAAAGCGACCATTCAGATGAACTGTCACAAACTAAAGAAGGGTATCAGTATCTCTGTCACCATTAATATCTTTCCAGGATGGGTTGAAGCTCTTCCACCTACAAGGAATACAGCCACTGGAACTGTAAAAATGCTGTCAGAGAAAATTGTCCACAGGTATGGAACAGCAGCTGAGACAGAAAGAGATGAAGAGCAGGCTGAGGTTGTAAGTGAAGTAACTTGAGCCTTAATGAGTAACCTGGGGATTAAGCAAGGACTGCATATACCCTACCACCTTTAGTCCTCAAGACTGGTAGAAAGAAATGAGTCAAACTACTAAAAACAGACTAAAGAAAATTGTAGGACAATATCCAGAATGATGGGCTGAAGAGTTAACCTTGATATTAGCAGCTTTAAGAAGCAGTGACAGATTAGGGACTGGTTTACAACCCTACCGTATTTTGTTTGGATAGTCTGTCCCTTGGTGGCGCCGTGTCCAAGACCCCGAAATGATATGGCAGGATAAAGAAGGAAAGGTGGCTCAAGTAGAAGCAGCAATATGACAAAAATAGGTAAAATGAGAAAGAATCCAATTCATATACGGCTTATGAAATAAAGGGCCAAGTAACGTATTTGAAATCAGATAAAAAGGAACAAGCATTGGAGACAAAATGGAAGGGGACCTATTGTGTCACTAATAGGATAAGTCCTCTAAGTTATTAAACAGATGAGTGCAATGGTAAATACAAACGGGTTCTTGTTTCTCAGATGTCCCCCTTAGGGGCCAAAAAATTCTGGAATCTGTCATGAATTTGTCAAGAACACAGACACAGAAAATGCCCCAAAGAGGAACCTGTGGTGCCTGCTCAGCCTGAGCCCCAGCGCAACCTCATCTCTAGCAGGCAAGAAGGTGCAGCCCGTGTGGTGTTTACCTCCTGCGTGGCTACAGTAGATCTATTTGTATGCCTGCATACTGACGGGGCTGGTTTATGCTTCGAGTTTTGCTTATTTTCTGTTTTCATAGGGCAACAGATTTTACTACAGCTCCTCCAACAAGCAACAGCTGACAGAGACACAGTGCAGCAATGCAAACTCCGAGGCAAGGTGGAGGAGCTGAGGGCTTCTGCAGTGGCACCGATTTTTAATTGGCTTTTCACTCCATATTAATAGATCTGGTCTTTTTATAAATTGCATTAATTTTAGACATTTAACAAGGCAGACAGTAACTGTGAAGTATTTTGGAGAACCAGAGGCGACCACCTTCAGACCTTGATAGGTTCTGAGGCCAGACAAGAAAGTGAAGGCCTTCACAGAGACTCCCGCTCGGTCCTGATCAGGAGCCTGGCATTGCTGCAGGGTTTGCAGCATCCTTGCTGCACTCGTGGGCAGTAACCCAGGAGCTGGAGACTACCAAAGGAAGGGAGGAACAGCAACCTGCAGGCCAGTAACATGACATTGCCATCACTAAGAAGGCCATAAGCTGTGCATTAACTATAGAGGCTTCACTGTTACATCTTGCCTGTTCGGAGCTTTATTTTACTCGGTTTTACGGGAGTCACCAATAAGATTTTCATGGCTAGATAGCTAACCTATGACCTAACCTGCCTTAGTCTTGTACAGCTTGCTCCAGCTACTTGATCTAATAGTAATAGCTTAAGAACCCAAATTAAAAATTGTTACAGCTCTTAAGGGAGCCTTGAGAGATACAGCTCAAGATGTGGAACCACCCAGATTGGGAAATCATAGCTGAAGCTTTGGAAAAAGTGCTTTAAAATTACAATAACTGAATGAACTCAGTAGTTTTATTCATTTACAGGACAATCCTCCAAGGAGCAACAACTTGAGGACAAGCAGCTAGCCCTAGTGTTGAACTGCTGATTCCAGTAATGCCCTTTTAGGTAACTTAGGAGCAATTTAGCAGGACAGTCAAATAAGAAAGAAAACAGAAAGGAGGGATTAAATCAGGTGGGAGACTAAGTGCTGCCGGTAGCTAAGTAGTTAAAATTTGAGAGAACTGGGGGTTAAGCACATATACGTGAAGGTCTGAAGTGGGATAAAATATATCGGATTGTAAAATATCATGACTGAGCTGCAGTAGAAATAACACTGGAGAGTGGTGGTAAATATAAGTATTGGAGGATACTTACACCTAATAGCTAAAACTTCACCACTAAGCCTTGCATTTCTTTAAAGACAAAATTCTAAAAATCACATACAGTGGATAAGGATGGTAAAAGTCTATACAGAAATGTTATAACTGATCATGCAAACCACTAAGTGTAATTCTCCCCTTCGCTGTCCCCCACAGCTGTTTAGCTGCCTCCACACATCCCCAGCCCAGCTCTGATACTGCACAGCTGCATAACCTTGGGCCAAACTTCTGAGCAAACCGCTAAGTTATGAGACAGCCTGCAGGAAGATAAGAAGGGCAAAAGCAGGGGGAGGAAAACTGAGAGCTTTGGGTCAGATCAAGCCATTAACATCTACAAAAAGTGAAAGCTGCATGAAACTGGGTTTGAGCATCCTAACCGTATGTTACCTTCCTCAGAAATGGCCAGCAATAGCATTAGTCACACACCTGAGCTACATCAGGTGACAGTGATACTGGGATATCTAAGAAAAAGGCGATGCTGCCTGCATCTGTGTAATAGACTGGAAAAGTGAAAGTGTGTGAAATCCTCCCAAGGACTGGCAAACTCAGGACACCAGTGGTCCACTCAGTCTGCAATAACCAATAGACTCCACACACCAAGAGGCTGCTAAGGGCCACCAGCACACAGGAACATCAGTAGCTGTGACTGCTATCTGCTGTGAAGGATAGCAGCTGGGCTCTTGAGCACTCCCTGCTGTGGGAGCTTTTAAATAAGGGCTTGGGAGGGGGCATGCTCTGGCCTGGAGCGGCCAGGGCTTGTTCTGAGGTGCTTGTGCTGGGGAGGATCAAGGTAGATCAGGGCTGCTCTATGCCAGGCAGGCAAATCCTGGCTTCGGTCAATTTAGAGGTTCAGGGGAGCTATGATACTTATTGCAGCCTGGTGGGGTGGTGCAGCTCAGGGCTTCACACCGAAGCATCCCCCTGTGCAAGAAGCTGAGGGGAGGCTGGGAGATGATATTTCAAACCTCACATAGGATTGGTTCTGGAGCAGCTCTGCATTTCCCAAATGCACGAGGCTGTAAGATGCAGGAGATGGTGGGGACTGAGGGTCCCTCCTAAAGTTGGTATAGGAGTTGCTTTGGGACTAAAAAACCAGATTAATTTATTCTCTCAAACTGCAAAAAATAAATTTTCTCTCTCTTTTCTTTTTTTTAATAAAGAAACTCTTCTCATCTTCCTTGCACCCAGGAGCCTACCACACAGCTGTTGACTTCAACTTTGTGGCTTGGCCATGCTTTTGGTCTGCACTAAGCCTCTTCCAGCAGTCAATAGAAAAGCTGCCCAGAAAGCCAGCAGGCCTTGGGTCCATCCCTTTGCCCTCCTCCGAGCTGGCCCCACATAAAAAAGTGGAAAGCTGTTGGGGTTGCGTGGTGACAGGCAGCAGTGCAAATGTTTGGAGAAGATAGGCAGGATTTCTCAGCTGGGATCTAGGCAAGGGAAGAGGAGGTGGTTTTGGGGCTGCAAGGGAAGAGGGGAAGGAAAGACCCCAGTTCTCATATTAACTGATAACATTGAGTGCGTTAATCAGTGAGTGAAGCTCATCCCTTACGCTCTCCAGGGAGTGAGAGATCGTCTGAGGGCTGTCCAGGAGCTCGACACTGTGGGTGTAGGGCTCATATTTCACCAAGAACGGCCGCTTGATGTGTGCTGCATAGCTCCTGCAAGGAAAGGGTGAAGAGAGCTTGGTACAAGCGATGGGTCCCGAGTCTTCCCCACACCCATCACCATTTACCCAGACCACAACAGTTTAATGCCTCCTTCGGGCAGAGTTTCTAGGTTAGCACAAAAGCTCTAGTTTCCCACCTTTCTAGCTCCATGGGGCTGTAGCAGTAGTTGAGATCCCTTGCATTCGGCAAGGAACACCATGAATTGGACTGCGGGTTTCCATGGGCCAAACACATAGGCTTGCATCAAACTGGGGGGTACACTGAAATAGTCACCTCCATGGCCATCACCAGGCATCCACTGCTTCAATTGCTTTTTTCCTTTTTCAAAAATGCCAAGGAGATTTAGAAGCTAATTGCAGGGAAAGGCTGTGGTATTATAGTATTATATTCCTAAATCCTTTCTGACATTCATTTATTGACTAATCTCTGCTTCAGCAGCGGGGAACTAGCTGCAAGCCGTATTAAGGATAGATTTGACAGGCAGTGGCTCAGGCCAGGGTGAGAGGATGGCAATAGCATCTCTGGAGCCACGTGCTTGAGCAAAGATGTACTACTGTACCCAAAGCCAACTGGAGTCTAGATCTCAGTGATGAGCCTGACTTTACCTGATATCTCTCAAGACCAACACCTTGTTGCTACCTTTCTAATGGAGAAATACACGGTCAAGTGAATAGAAATTGAGTAAGGTTTCCTCAAATTTACTCACGTTCACCTCCAACGCCAAGATTTGTATGTTTGACAAGGTAGGATTTGTTTCCTTTAGTGGCTGTGTAAATATGGAGCTGGGAATGTATATTTAGGTACTCATGGCTACAATCTCATGCTGGAAAGGCCTGGGAAGATGAGGGGACAAACAGCACCAGCACCAGGCATGCTCCCAACTTCTGCTGAGGCTTCACCCTTTCGCTCCTGAATCGCTTAGCTTAGGGTACCCTCTTGTGGCTACCGTGGGTCTGCTCCGGCGCAGGGCTAGGCGAAGAGCATCCCCTTCTCAGACCGACGCTCCTCGGGGCTGGCACTGCCCGCCGCGGGGAGCCCTCCTGCTGAGCTGCCAGGGCTTGGGGGAAAACCCCGGGCAGGGCCAAGGGGCAACGCGGTCAAAGCCGCAGGCTGGCGCTTGCAGGGAAACAAAAACACGTGCCAAACAGAGGGGTTTTCCAAATACTCACATTGTCTACCGCCTAAAAGATGTAGCTTATCTCCGTTCTACCAGGCAAGCCCCAGCTCACCTCGCTTATTAATGCTGTCAGCTACAGTGATGACCCAGCACAGCTGCTGGTGTTAGAAACTTGCCCTCCAACACCGCTGTGTTCACTTCACAGCTTCTTGAAGCACACAGGTACCACATTGGTGCCTGGAAGGGCACGGAGGGTGTGTGTCCACACTAGAAAAACTGGCATAAAGTTTTCTTTTTGGGAAAGGAGACTTTTTTTGAGGGAGAACACTGATAATCAGGTCCATGGTGGCAGCTGCCAGTAATGCAAAAAAGACGGACCTTTTAACGTTTTGACCTCACAGGGTAACATCTGTGTGGTCTCTGAGCTCTTTAAAGAGGATCATTTACAGTGCTTGTCACTGTCAAAACCCTCTAGCCTAATCTTGGCTGAGTATGTAGTGTATTTTTCCTTTTCAAATGCAAGGAAATGACTCATTAGACAACAGTTGGAGTTTTTTTAAAGCAACCTAGTGTGTGTGAAACAACCGGCTCCCCAGGTGCTTGCTTTTGAGCAGTTGGACTCCAGCTTGTATGAACAGTGCAAGTGAGGGTAATAAAAGCAGAAGTTGAAATATAGCAGTCCTTACCACGTTATTTATATGAAATACCCCGCTTGCAGGAACTGCAAAGTCATGTACATTGTGTAATAGTTCTTCTCATCCTATCCCTCTCCTAAGAAAGATAAAATGGTATAGGCAAACTTTTCCTCTGTCAGTCAAATATTAAAGGACTGATCTTTCCTTCTGTGAGCAATTCTGGATATGGCCAAGAAAATTCTCTTCTGAACAGATGTCTGTGGGTAAAGCTGTCCCTCTCCATCCTGCTTGCACTCCCATGGGATGAGGAAACCCAATTACACCGGTGGGATGCTATCTGGGGTCTGCTAACCCATGTTCACCAGCTGAAGAGGCAAAAGTTGCTTTTCTTCCATGGGTAAATCTATCCATGTCAAGCAAATCCTTTTTGTTTGTGTACAAGCTACTAATGATGCCTGGGGGCTTTTTGCTGATTGAATGATAAATGGGTAAGCTGCCCACCAGTTGCTCAGAAAGACAAACATCTTTCTGCATCCTAAATTCAGAGAATGCCACTGTTTTGAGCAGCTCTTCACCCCTCTCCTAAAACTTTCACCCACAGAGCAAACTTTCACATGACGCAGAAGCCTGCATTTCAGCAGGACACACGCTGGAGAGGTGGTCCCGTGGAGGACAGCCAGTACTTAACCTGTATCACTTGGTCCTTCTGCAGCAAGGAGCCAGAGGGGGTCCTGGTGGGTGGTTTGGGTCTCTGATTTCTGGACCACCAGCCCTTTGTTACGTTGCTTGGCCTCCCCTGGGAACTGGAGATAGTCTGTAACTCCTTTCTACGAGAACTAGGTAGATGAGCTAGATTTGTCCCTTCTCCTGCTCACTCAGTCTTGTTTCCAAGAGTGCCTCCCACTCCATCTCACTCCTCCACACCCAAACCCTTGAGTCCAGCACATTTTTGGGGGGCTTTTGGACAAACCCAAGGGACTGAGGCTGGACCCTGTAGGAACTGGAGAATCACTTTACTTTGAAAGACCTGACAACAGTTTCCAGAGTACTTCTGAGACCTTGAACTGAAAGCAGCCATGGTGTCAAGCCCTGTTTTAATATATTATGCCTTCATTTACTCCTCTTTGGGTCTTTCTCACTGCCCAGTCCTACCTCAGTTTACTTTTGGCATCGCTGAAGCTCTCAGACACAAAATAAACAGGCTGGTAGTTCTGGTCCTGGTAGGGCTGAACAGCAGCAGCATCAGGATCAAAGTCTCGCACCTCTGGTTCATCTGACAAGGAGTGCTATGGACACAGCAGAAAAATGCCGGCATGAAATTAAGGGGATCGAAGAGCACATATGTGATAGACAGAGGCAGACAACAGATTGGGTAAAGTCATTGGACCTGTCCAGAGGAAGAAGGTTTTTTGCTGTATAGGGTCTAGAGCAGAGAGGCAAGTTATGCTGGGACTTACTATGAGCTCCCCATAGGAAGACAGGAGCCCGGCTCCGTAAGCTTTGACTATCCCGTTCTGTCTGCAGAGCCCAAACTCCACCGTAAACCAGTAAAGCTGTGAAAGGAGAAAGAAAAGTGCATAGGGGACATAGCTCCTCATCTTCATATCCCTGTTACTTCTGAGCCCTTGGATTGTGGCAGGGGTCTGGGTTTATTTAAATGAACGGGCATCTGGGACTTTGTCCCCTCTCTTTACTCTGCACCCATCACTGCCAGCGCAAAGTGCTACACAAAGTTACTGCCATGCTGGGACAGATGGAAAGTGTGTCCCTGGGCTGGTCCCCTGCATGCCTGGCTGCTGCGCAGTGCCCTTGGAGGAGGACAGGTCACCTTGCCCAGGGAGAGCCAAAGGAAGCAGGTGTCATTTAATCCCATCCCAAAGAGTCCCAGCAGTGCAGTCGTTAGAAATACGATGCTTGATGATACTCTGGTGCCTGAGAAAATTGGGTTAATGTGCAAGTGAGCTCTGCTGTGTAACTGCTCTCTGCTCTGCAGTCATCGTGAAAGAGCAGAGCTGGGGCAGATCAAACAGGGGTCTGGGCCTACAAATCTGGGGACACCAGGCTGGACCAGTCCCCTTGACACCCCACAAGTGCTGCTGGAAGGGTCAGGGTCCCCATCCAGCAAAGAGGCAAACTTACTGTTGCAAGTTTCTCAATTTCTTCATCAGTTGCTCCCAGAGACGCCAGCCCAATGTCCTGGGAAGAGAAGGGGAGAACGTCAGCACAGATTTGGTCTGAGGGTATAATGTGTGGATTGCTCTGGTTTATTGCCTTGAGATAACAGATATCGTTGCCCTGCACTGCCATGCATCTGCTGCAGAGTCTGATATTTTTACTCTGTATTAGGGTTCTCGGTCCTAGGGTCCTGAACATTGTGCTTAACATAAATAAATCCTAGAACAAGTAGGGTTTAGGTGGTGAGGCTGGGGTTGGTTTGGGTTCCCTCCTTGTTCTCTGCCCTGTTAGGGGCAAGGAAGCAGGTGACCATCTTACCTGGGAGAACTGGGCAAACGTCTTGTCGGCCAGCATTGGGACGTGCCCCAGCAGTTCATGACAGCAATCCCTGCCGATGCCCAGGGGGAAAGGAAGAAAATGCGGTCAGCAGCGGGCAGAGTTTGTCCATTAGGGAGAAGGGCTAATTGCTGGCCAGGTGAAGAGTAGGGGAGGCCACTGGGGCCGGGTGATACTCACGGCTCGGGGGAGTGCAGGGCCGAGGACGAGTGGCGGATGTACTGCGTGCACTGGAAGACGCGGAAGGCCAGGCTGGCGAGGAAGTCCCGTGCTGACAGCAAGCCAGCCACCGGCCGGAGCTGGAAGCCGGTCCTCTCTGAAACAGCACATACTGTCTCTGCAGAGGTGCACGGCCCACAGGCTGTGCTGGTGTCTCATGTTCCCAGCACAGACATCATCAGTGCTGGAAACTAAAGGGCTTCTGCTGTGCCAAGCCTAATCTTTTTGCTCCTACTAGAGAGCAACTTCTGCTCTTTAGGTGCTCAGTGGGATCATTTGACTACAGGCTTGACCTCCAGTTGCAGACCGCTGTGTTTAGTTGCAGTCCCCACAGCCTGGGGTCTACCCCTGTTCTGTGTAGGCAATGCACAAGCCTCCACCAGCTCTTCTCCCAAATCTCAGCTCACACACTCCTCCTTCAGGTTTGAGTTTCCCAGCCGCAGCTGCTACCACCATGCTGGAGGCCTGGCAGATCCTGGACCTGGGTCCCCCAGTCTCGTACCCACCTTTCAGGAAGCAGGAGACCTCCTCCAGCTGAGGGATGTTGTTCTCATTGTAGCCGCAGAATTTCTCCAGTAGATTGAAAGCTTCAAGGTACTCCTTGCAGGCATGGGTGGGGTACAGGCTCTTCAGGGTGCTGTACACCTCCTTCCTTCAGGACGAGAGATGGCAGAGGGTCAGTGGCTTGCCCCAGTCTCGTACCCACCTTTCAGGAAGCAGGAGACCTCCTCCAGCTGAGGGATGTTGTTCTCATTGTAGCCGCAGAATTTCTCCAGTAGATTGAAAGCTTCAAGGTACTCCTTGCAGGCATGGGTGGGGTACAGGCTCTTCAGGGTGCTGTACACCTCCTTCCTTCAGGACGAGAGATGGCAGAGGGTCAGTGGCTTGATGTGTCTCCTCCTCTCCTGTCCTCTGGTTAAACACTATCAAGAACTCACGCCTCTAGGTTTCTTGTCCTTTTGCCTTTCTCCACCGCTAAGTCTATGTCTGTGCTCATTGATAGGAGGATGTAAACATAAAAAAACACATTCAAATGAGCCTGCAAAGTCAGTAGTTTTATCTGCACAGACCTATTTCTGATCTTGAAGGTCAGAAGATTGTATAAAAGGTATTAACTGGAATTGTATAAAAGGTATTAACTGAAATTAAAATATTCCCTGTAGGTTAGCTCCTGAAGTTGCACTATGAAGCCAGTCAATATAACCAGAAGATGACCTGGTTTAGGAGCCTGTGTACTCAGATCGTATGAGCTGGCCTTGTTTTCAGAGACATTCCTGGATCAACACTCCTGGAAACAACCGTGTTCAAAGGAAGCATTTTCCTAACTGAGGCAAAAAAGGTACCATGCAGATATTCACCACGGGCCTCACACTTCTTTCTGCAGCTATAATAATTGCCCTTTGTTTGGAGGCTGCTACTAAGCCAGGTGTGCTTAGAGAAGTGTGACTGCAAATTATCTACCTCGCTCTCTGGGGACGCTCCTTTGGAGGAAAATTCTGGGGACTGCAGCGTGGAATGCTCTCGGAGTAGCCCCAAGAGAGGAGGAGACAGAGCATGACTGTTTTGGAGGTAGCTTGCTCTCCCAAAGGCAGTTCCTGCCATAAAACACCGTGCAATGAGGTACTGTTTCATATAACAAGCCATTAAGTAGGATGCTTGCACTCCTGATACATCTTTTTCAAGGGGTCACACCCTAGTTTAGGTTTTGATTCCTAACTTCTGGTGGTGGAGCCAATAAAGGTCCCAGAATCAATCAGCGCTCACCAGGTAGCAATCTCCTCCGCCGTGTACTCCACATGAGGGATCGGGTCCCCGCTGCAAGGCAAATGCACCATTACTGACAGCAGCAGAGCACAAGCCAGGTTCCTCTCCCCTTTGAGAAGGAAACACTTCGGAGAAGCTCTGCATGATGTTGATCAATCTTCTTTAAACCAAACAAGGGGGTGACAGGAAAGACAAAGACTTAGTACTGGGTCATTTGTACAGGTTCAACAAACACATAGACACAGAGAAAAGCATTAGTCTAGCCAGAGGTTATAAATGAACAAGGGATGCGCAAAAGCTTAGCAGGCATAATATTTTCCAGAAATAAAATGGTTTTCATTGGAAAAAATTGAAACTTTCTGTGAAAATAAATTAATTTCATGTGCCTGAACTTCAGGGGGCTGATGGCTCCAAGAAGGAATCAGTGGCTGGGAAATAAAAGGAGCTAATACGGAAAACTAAATGCATTTGAACTGAAGAAAAATATATTGTCAGTAAGATTAAGGACAGCAAGAAAAGAAAATATTAACATTGATATAAGTGGGAACTAAAGAAGACTGACACTTTTGCCTTTTCTGCGTCGTAATTAGCAATTGTTTTTCCTAAATCCTTCTGTTCTATATTTGAACAAAGGAGATATTCACGTATCACTGTAGCCATAAAGCATAGTTCCTTTTCCATTAATAGCCTGAAGGGATGCTACACAGTGGCTCATGAATGCTAACCTGCAGATGAGATGTGAGCGAAGACATCTTAAATGGGTGCATCCTCTTAGGAAGTATTTCTCCCTGTGTCCCTCAGGACTCTCTTGCTGCCACAGTAACTTTCTGTGCATTTAGTATTAGTACAGGATGAAAACATCAATGTCTGTATTCTGGGCTTCAAATCTGCAAAGAACGTGAAACTTACCAGAGCAGAAAGCCATGCTGGGTTCACACCGGTTGCAGGGGCAGCTCAAGAAGGTGACCCATATAACTTCCACAGCCTGCTTCCAGCACAGCTTTCTACAGAAATCTATATTTAAAGTCCCGCTTGGAGAGGGAGATGCTACCGTGGAAGGCAGTGTTACTGAATGGGGTATAGGGAATATTTCACAAATTCAGCTGAATATTAGAGCTCTGGTTTATGTTGTAGTGAAGAGGTTGACCGTTATCACTGCATATATCAGAACAGGAGTATTAAGTAGGAGTACAAGAGATAGTCTTAAATCTATATAAGACAATGATTAAGACCATTACTGGAACCTATTTAATTTAGCAGAGAGAGTTAGGAGGTGAGCCATTTAGTCTATAAAAACCCTCACAGCAAAAAAGATCTGATAGCAGAATTCAATCTAGCAGATGAAAGGCGTGTATGATACACTGTGCGAAAGCTAAAGCTGCCAAAGCTCCATTTAGAAACAAAATCCACATTTATTCACAACCAGGATAATGAACCATTGGAACGAGATTTCTGGGCACGTGGTAGCTTTTTCAGTACTTCAAACACTGAAGTCAAAACAAGATGCCATTCTAAAGGTGATGCTACATTTCAAAGTGAAGTTTGAGGTCTGATGGAATTATACATGGCTTTCGTTATAAAGGAAGTTTTTTCTGGTTTTATCAATGTATGAATAAATGACTGCAGCCATTTTTTAATTAAGAAGAGACTGGAATACACAGAGAGAGAGGGACACAAAAAGAGCTGGCAAGGCTGAATGGGGAGACAAAACATAAAAGAAGTCTCATGCAGGTAGCACAATGACTTCCCAACAGGTTGCATTGATGGGGCATTACGGCATTGTGGATGTTAGGAGAGAGACTTACTGCTTATAGTGAAAAGCAATTTCTGCTATTGATTTCCTTCTCTGGCGATATACTTGGTCAGAGTAGCCCTGTGATGACAAATAGGAACAGACAGGATTTTTAATCAGTTAGTAAAATTTCTCATCCAACAAAGTTCACCACTGGCAGGAGAAACTTCTCTCATGGTCGTGATTGCACTCCGGCTCCCTGCTTCTGGGGGACGGCTCAGGACTCTAGTGTGAGAATGTGCCCACACAGACTAACTCACCGGGTGATCCAGATCCAAGTCAGGTTCAAATTTGGTGACCAAATGGTGGCACTTGTCCAATTCACAGATTTTTCTGGGAAACCAGTGAACTGTGGGGAGAAAGAAAGAGAAAAACTGGCCATGGAAGTGAATATGAAACATTGCCTGCTGAGAAGAGGTTATGAGGTTGAATACATCTGACCCAGTGTACCAAACACATACACTCCACAAACAGCACGACACAGCTGTGCCTTTCAGGCAGCAGTCCCATGCTCTCAATGCTCTTGTCCTAGAGTCAGGTCTAATGACATGATCTGCATCTCATGACTTCCCTGCCCACCTCTCAGCAGAGTATTTTTGACAAAAGTAAACAAGAAGATGAAAAATGGATCTTATTTAAAGATTCTAGACTTCACATTAAAAATAAATCCAGAGGTCCAACTGGTTGTCGAGCAATCACTGCAGGTCTCTAGGGATATTTTACAATAAGAGTCACCCTGTCTTCAGAACAAGATGGCATGGGGAGTGTCTTGTAGTTTAGTGCAGGATCTGCACGGAGTTCCTGACACATAGGTAGGAAACTGCTTTACATTTATAATATAAAACACTGGAGTAGGGATGGAGATCTCTGTAGGAGAGGTGTGAACAAAGCATGAAATTTCATGTCCTATTTCTACTTTTTCAATCCGGCACCAGAAGAATGGGCTTTAGACTCTGGAGTCTGTTGAGAAATGGACAAGGAGGGAAGTGGCTTTCAGGATTCACATGTCCCAGAGGCAGTCTTTTCTGCTTTGCTCCAATTCAGCATAGACCAGCCCTTCCGCGTTTCTGTCATAAGAAAGTCTCCACCCTGTTTCTACAGCTCAGCCTCTCCACAAAAGTGAAACAGTTTGTAAGTTCCTTACACTTATCTTCCTTAGTGGTTCTCACGTCTTCTGTTACCCTCTTGATGGAGCTAATGAAAGTATTGAGGTCAGAGCTATGGACTTCACAGCGCACAAAGTACTCCAGTTCAGCAGTCTCTTCACGGGCCTTTCGGCTAAGCCTGGTCTCCAGGTGGTGAATTTTAGCCTCAAATGTCTTGGGACATGGAAAAGAACAAAAACATTAAACAACACTTGACGCACCTGCTGGTACTTCCCAAAGATGTCCATATGGATACACTTGGAGGGAGTCCCCCTTGTCTTTTTCTTCTTGTTTTCCCCCCACTGGGGTAAACACACTTACCCATTCATCCCACCGCTTTTTTCCGGACAGACAACCGGTGGGGCTGGCCAGTAACCACCAGCAGACTTCCACAGCGGCAAAGGAGATCGTACCAAGAGGGGAAGTTGATGTGGCAGAATGCCACCTCCTATGGCCCCTCTTTACTTTAATCTCCCCCTTAAGGCAAAGGTGCTTTTCTGCTGAAGAGGGGGGTGGTGGGGGTGGGGGTGGCGATGACGTAGGGGGGGGCGGCGGGGCGGGGGCGCTCGGGGCGTCGGC